ACACACACACACACACACACACACACACACACATACATATAGTTGTTGTTGAGTGCCTTCAAGTCAAGCACGACTCATAGCGACCCTATGAACAAAAGGCCTGAAGCCCCTCTACAACTCTTGACATTTATCAAAGTTCATAGCATTTCCAGAGGCATGTTATTTAGGAAGTGGATGCCACACCTGCTATACACACATACATATATGCATGATGTGGATATTGAGAAGTCATCTTCTAAGCCTGATGCCACATTCTTCTTCATGTTGTTGTGTCCTTTCTTCATACCTTTCTTCTTCATAGAGTCCAGCTTCTCAGATAGTTTGCTTGGCACACATATTGAATAGGTAGGGAGAGAGGACACAACATTGATACAGATCTTTCTTAATTTTAAGCCATGTAGGTATTCCATTGCTTTGTTCACACAACAGCATTCTGATTCAAGTATAGATTTTGCAGAAGAAAAATTAAATGTTCTGGGATTCCCATTCTTCTCAATGTTAGTCGTAATTTGTTAAGATCCATGCAGTCAAGTGTCTTTGTACAGTCAATAAAGCACAAATAGCCATTCTTTTTGTATTCTTTACTTTCAGACAGGATCCATCTGACATCAGCTATGATATCTCTTCTGTCACAGCCTATTTTAAATCCAGCTTGAACTTCTGGCTGTTCTCTATGTACTGTTCTAGCCATTTTTAAAATAATCTTCAGCAGTATTTTGCTTATGTGCAATATTAATATTGTTCAATAATTTCCACATTCTATTGGATCACTTTTCTTGGGAATGGGAACAAATACAGATCTCTTTCAGTTAGTCAAACAGGCTGCTCTTCCCCAAATTTTCTGACAGCAACTGGTGAGTACATCCAGGGCTACATCTATTAATTGAAATATGTCAGTTGGTATTCGATTGATTTGTGAGGAGTTATTTTTGTCCAGTACCTTCAGTGTAGCTTGAATTTCGTTCTTCATTACAATTGGCTCTTGATCATATGATACTTGCTGAAATATTACAGCATCAACCAACTATTTTCAGTATAGAGATTCTTTGTATTCCTTCCACTTTCTTTTGATGCTTCATGGATCATTTAAGACTTTACCCATAGCATCTCCTAATATTACAACTTGAGGATTGAATTTTACCCCCCACTTAAATGCTTAATGAAATTTAATCATTTCAAGTAATTGCTGTCCATTTAATGTTTCCTGAAACCATTTACAACTAATTCACATGCCATTTGCTAAATGCTTCAGGCTTATTTGGGTTTCTTGCTGTGCATGAAACAGTTTATTGACTAACTTTTTTTGTCAATTAACCACTCTCTATTTGCTTATCCTTATACTTAAATATGGACTAAGGTTTGTAAGTAGCATAATTTGACTTATATATTAACCTAAATGTTAGCCATTCAAGTGAACTAAGCTTGAGGTTTGACGTTGTGCAGTTCTTTCAGTTTGAGAAATGCCGAGTGAGTTCTTCCCTTTTTATTCTCCAGTTCTATCTCTGCACATTCTGCTAGAATACTTTGCTTGTCTTCTCAAGCTCCCTTTGAAGTTTTTTTAAGATTTTTTTTTACTTCAGCATCTCTTTGTTTTGTCTTCTTAACAGTCTAGTAGAATTTTCAGAGTCTCTTCTCTCATCCCTTTTGGTTTTTATTTATCCTCTGTTTTTGTAATAACCTTTTGCTCTCTTTATGGATTTGAGGAAGACCCATCAATAAACTCTGCTGTTAAGATGACTCAAGCTTGCTTACCAAAAGTGATGGGGGCTTGATGCACTTGCTGCAGAATATCAAAGAATATAGAATTCCATATGGATTTCATCTTAACATTAAAAAACAAAAAATTCTTACCAAAAGACTGATAGAAAACACACTGATAGATGGGGAAAAAAGATTGAAACTGTCAGTGACTGTATCTTACTCAGATCCACAATCAACAGCATTAATACCAGTAGTTAAGAGATTAGGAGACACATTTCACTGGGACAGTTTGTAGTCAGAGACTTCTCCAAATTATTGAGGAGCAAACATGGTAGTTTGAAGACCAAGGTATGCCTCATCCAGGCCATGGTCTTTTCACTCACTTGCTATACATCTAGGAGCCAGACAAAGAATAGGAATGACAAACGAATTGATGTCTTTAAGTTCTGGTGTTGCTGAACAGTACTGAATATCATATGAACTGCTATAAGAACAAATGCTTATTATCTTGGATCAGGTGAAGCTGGAGGCAAAGATGACAAAGCTTCATCTCACATCCTTTGAGCATGCTTCTAGGAGAAGCTCTTCCTTGGGAGAGGGACATCATGCTTGGAAAGGTAGAGGTTTGGTGAATGAGAAGATCTCCAACTGAGTGGATTGACAGGGTGACTATGACAATGGGATCAAGTATGTCAAAGACTGTGAGGATGGTAGAGGATAGGATAGGATTCAGATTTTGTTGTTCTTGGGATCATTCTGGGTCATACTCAGTGGCATCTAACAACACAATAACAATAACAACAATATATTTATGTGTTTTTTTAGGTGATATCAGTTAAAAACATAAAAATTATGTTATACACATCATACCTATATATCAGTGATACATTATGAAAATATTAAAAAGATGGTTTAAAAAGAATAATTACTAGAAAATTCTCATGAAAAAAGAAAAATACATTGTGAAAGTAGTTACTACTGAGCTGACAAAATTATGTACAACTGTTACATTCTTTAAATATTTCTATACTTTCTAACATTTATACTGAATTCCACTATACTTTATCAGGCAAAATAAAGTAAAGCAACTGAAAATTTCTATTGTAAAATTCTTGAGTACATTCATATTTGTCAGACACGGTCTTGAGAAATATTGTCTCTGTAAATATGTAAAAGTGATGTAATTATTGATCTTATTATGACTGTTGGATACAAAAAGTTTTGTTAATCAAACAGTTGGTGACCCAATAGGTAGTTGTGTCACCAACCAAAAGGTAGATGGACAGAGTCTACCAGCTGTTCTGAGGGAAAAAATGGACACTCCCCTCTGATGCTATCCACAGCCTGTGAAAATCCACTGGAAGGTCGGCTATGAGTTGGTTCTGACTCATAGACACATGACACAAATCTTTTTTTGAAAGACTTTACATGGCATCATCTGTAGTGAGGTAAGTGTTAATCGTAAGGCTTTGTTTCTTTGGCTGTTGAAATCCACCAGCAGCAAAGATTTAATCTGTTTTTCTTTCAAGTGGATTGGTTTGCTGGCATGGCATGGGATTTAAGTATGACTCTCACCAAGATATATATAAAATATATCTGCTTACCTGTTTTGGGCTTTGGCTCCTCATTTTTATCTTCCTTCTCATCTTCTAAAGAAAAATAATCTTCTGGCTTTTCCCTTTTCTTAATTGTTTTAGGGTCTTTTAAGTGAATCATAAAATTGTGATTGTCCTTTTTCACTTTCACTTTGACAAAAGTTGGACCTAAAGAATGATCATAGGTTAGAAGATGGTCTGCAAGTAATGCCACATAAAGCTATTTACACGGCACAGAAGTCAAGCTCGGTAGTGGAATTACCTAGGGCTATCAACATGGTTATAAATAGGTATGTAAAAGATTAAATGATGGTGAAATTCCAGAAATAAATGCAAAATAGATCAGATGATACTTGCACATCTCAACTCAAATTATATAAATCCATCTATTAGAAGCATCTATAAACTGATTGAGCAATGTTTATCCATAATCAACTTTGTAATTCACCAAATGGATAATTGTCAAAAAGTTCTACAATTTAAAAATAATTACCTAAAAAGTAGTAATAGGAGTTACTGATTTTAACAGAAACAGGAATTTGTCAACATTATATACTTTTTCTTCTGACTGATTTTCCTTTTTAAAAATATACAGCTTTTTCATTCCAAGTTTGATTAACTTAAAATCTTTAAAAATTTATTAACATTGGTGGGGTGACAAAAATGTATTTACCATGAACCATCTGAAACTTACATTTGTACGTATATGAAAATCCTCATACAAGTGAGGGATATTTATTTAATAAACTTGACAACACATGACAACTAAGACAACAATATAACAAAATCCTCACCACTTGGCCAACAGACAAAAGATGGAAAGATGATTGAAGTTGTCAATGATTTCATCTTACTTGTATCCAAAAGCATCATCCTTAGTACTAGCAATCAAGAAATCAAAAGATGTGTTGCATTGGGAAAGTACTTTGGAGGAGTTTTAAGTATTCTCCAAAGTAATAAGCAGCAAGATTTTCAGTTTAAAGTAGTACTCTCCAGAAGAACTAAGGAGCAAGATTGTCCGTTTAAAGACTAAGGTGCACCTGATTCAGGCCATGGTCTTTTCAATTACTTACTATGTGCCTGAGAGACAATGAGTAAGGATGACAGAAGAATCAACACCTTTCACTTATGGTGTTGGAGAAGAGGACTAAACAGCCCAAAGGAATGCCAAAAGAACAAATTTTTCTTGGAGAAAGTGCAACCAGAGCGGTTCTAATCCACTGGCTACTCTGTAGGAGAAGGATGAACAATCTCCTCCTGAGAGATTAACTGCCTCTGAAAACCCACAGGAGGGTCAGCTATGATTTCAACTGGATGGCAGAAACACACAACAATGTTCTCCTCAGTTATGGGATCTATGTGAGCTCTATTATCAGTTGTACTATACTACACTATGTACACTGTACTCATTAAAACATGGTAATATTAAAATATATATTGTCGTTGTTATGTGCCGCTGAGTCACTTGTAACTCATCATGACCCTATGTAAAACAGCCCTGAAATCTGCTCTATCCTGTGGCAACTTTATTGTCTCGGACACACCTACCCTCATTACTCTAGTTACTGTATCAATCCATCTCCTTCATGGTCTCCTTCTCTTTCTCTATCCCTCCATCCTTCCAAGCATGATATCCTTCTCCAAGGACCAGTCCCTCCTTGCAACATACCCAAAGTATGTCACACAAAGCTTCAGAATCCTTGCCTCCAAGAAACAGCCTGGTTTCACCCTCTCTCTAGGATGAACCTGTTTGTTCTCCTGGCAGTCCATGGTATATTCAACACTGTTCTCCAGCACCACAGCTCAAAAGCGTCAATTCTCTTTCTATCATCCCTAATCATTGTCCAGCACTCTGATGCATAGCAAGTAATTGTGAAGACTAAGGCATAGGTCAGGCACACTTTAGTCCCCAGACTGATGTTGCTATTCAGTACTCTGGAGAGGTCCCTCATAGCCAACTTTCCCAATGCAATTTGTCCCTTGATTTCCTGCCTGCTAGTACCAAGAGTGTTGATTGTGGAGCCACGTAAATTAAAGCTGTTAATGATCTCAATCTCTTTAACCATCCATCATGATGCTGCCAACCAGCCCAGTGGTGAGAATCTTTGTTTTCTAGACGTTGAGCTTCAATCCAATATGAAGGCTGCAGTCCTTGATCTTCTGCAGCAAGCTCTTCAGGTCCTTCTCATTTTCAGCAAGCAGGGTTGTGTCATCTGCATAACGCAGGTTGTTGATGAATCTTCCTCCAATCCTGATGCCACATGTGCTCATACGTTTTATGTGATATCTGAAATCTTAACCATGTTCTTGCCTGTGCCATGATTACATGATGAAGAGCATCTCTTGCAATGATTTTCTTATTGATAGTCATGGAACAAGAAAAGAAATGACAAAGAGGAAGAGAAGGAGGTAAAAAGGAAGAAAGCAAGAAGGAAGAAGGAAAATAAGGTAGATAAGCAAGAACAACAATGGTTTGTACAGCTGGCTGAGTGCTTGGGAGCTCTTGGGGTTTCTGTGCTCCAGTAAGCAAGGGAAGCAGGAGACATCAGGGGTGGGCTGGTATAAAGGAGGTGGGAAAAAGAGGGGAGCACTGAGCTAACGTTGACCCCTGCCATGGTGAATCATCTTCTAACCCTTAAAAAGGAGCCTGATCAATTTCCCTTCACATTAAACCTCTCCACAGCTCTCAACGACAATTTTCATCCCACCAAAAGATAGGTTGTCACTAATTTCTAATTTCATCTGAGAGATTCTTAAGGCACAGGGCAAAGCTATGCTTGCAGGATGCTTTTAACAGTGTCTTGCTAAGAATTAATCATCTCCTCTTGGGGGTTTAGAGACTATTTCTTTCTCAGCTCTCCTTCCCATCACCTTTTCCTCTCGTTGTTTGTTGTTTAATGCCGTCGAGTCGTAGACGACTCATAGAGATCCTATGAATGAACAGCCTGAGCACTGTTCTTACATAGAGTTTCCAGAGGCAAGCCATTTTGGAAGTGGATGCCGCTCCTGCTTCCAGGCTTGATTTAGTCGGGAAGCTCCAGCCAACACCGTCCACCATGGGTGCCCATTACCACAATTGGCACATCATTGTCACAGGCTTCAGCATCACAGCAACCACGAGTTACCTCTGTACAGCAACGCACAGATCAGTGCTATACCACCTAGAAGAATGTTTGACAGGAAGACAGTTTGAACCTGGCCCGAGGGCCCTCTGGGCTTAAGGCCACCTCCTGGTTCAAACCCTAGGCTGGCTAGCCTCACTCCAGGGACAGAGCAAACCTGCACGTCAAACACATTCCCAGAAAAGCAGTCCACTCCAAAGCTTGCCAAGATTCCTGCACTCCCCACCACCACGCTCCTGCCTTCTGGCAAGGAGAGCTTCCCAGGAGCCTGTGAAGGCGCCAGCTAAACCAGGAACAACATGGCTGCTTCCTTCCCGGCTTCCTTTGGCTTAAGGCCGCCTCCTGGTTCAAACCCTAGGCCCAGGCTGGCTAGCCTCAATCCAGGGAGAGAGTAAACCTGCACGTCAAACACATTCCTGGAAAAGCAGTCCTCCAAAGCTTGCCATGATTCCTGCACTCCCCACCACCATGCTCCTGCCTTCTGGCAAGGAGAGCTTCCCATGAGCTTTTTCCTCTTAGAGACTTCTTAATCCAAAGGCAATTTCTAGACAGTTGGAATAACCAGATCTCTGCTGCAGGCCCCACGTTCAGTGTTCCAGAGTCCAAGCCAGAACAATGCTCTCATTTCATAATGTGCCCTCGCTTTCTGAAATGACTACATGTGCTGTAATGAATATTACTAGCTAATTAACCCACTGAATGCAGATATTATTGTACTATTAACAGTAGTGTTGAAATATTTTAATATTTGGTATTGCTATACTAGTGTGTCTAAGACTAAATTCCTGTAATAGAGTAACGTGAAGTTTGAAAACATCAGATGTGCCACGTAAATGAGTTGCCATGAGCGTCCCTTCTCACTTCTCTCTCAGGGGGAAGTTCAAGGTCGCAAGATGGCCTCAAATGTATTAAAACTGTTCAACCTAATAACTAGCTGCTTCCAGAAGCATACCTTTTTTAAATGATATCTTCTCTACTTCTATCTGTCCTCCATCTGAAGGATACAGATAGTAACTGGTCCCTGAGATTTGGATAGGTATATTTCCCATATTGTATCCTTGAAACTAGAAAAGAAAAAAAAAATTATTATGCTTTGAGTGAGGAACTGATCAAAATCACCTCACCAGTGTTAGCCAGTTAAAAGTGCATTTAGTTTACTTTGTTCTAATTTTTCTGTTTAGACTCATGAGCCTTTCTCTCTGTTACCTTTAGAATCTTTCATCCCATGGTGGTGCAATAAAATGTACAACTAAAGGAAGTCAAGGGCATTATATTTGGCTCACTGGTGCAGTGTAAGTGTGTGTTAAAAGCAAGTCTCTAAGGCAGTAGGAGGAAAAATTCATTTGTTTAAGTAGCAATTTTCTGTTTGAAGTGAACCTTAAGGTATAGTGCCTTTATAGGTCATATGATAAAGGAATATATATTTGTCTTCTTTTTATTTAAGTGGTATTCCTAATGCTCATTTTATGTTATTTTTTTCATCTTTAGGGACAATAGAAAGACGAGTGGAAACATTTGAGTGATAAAACATGGAACTACTTAAGCCAGACAGAGAAGAAGAGATTCAGGGCAATATTTCTCTTAGTGTGGTACTATCTGGGTACTTAGTAAAAGTGCAAATTCTTTTTGTCCAGCCCAGAATCACAAACTTTGGGGGTTTGGTAAAGCAAACTGTGTTTTTAAAGATGTCCAGAGAGTTCTGCTTCTTGCCAAAGCCTGAGAAGGAAAACTTTGATGTTTTCATCTGTCTCAGATAATAGATGGAAAGAGATAATAGATGGAACGACTTTCAACTTTTTTTTCCATATTAATCCAAACTAAGTTTTCTTAGTTTTTGTCTGAGTGAGAATGTGGTGAAAGGAAAGGTTTTACAGAATCAGACCGTTAGGAATATTGGTTGCTGACACAGACACAACCAAATGGACTCAGCAAATTCTATCATCTGGGATAAAGACAAAGCTTGTGTTTACATCAAGCCATGGTAGTTGAGTGCTTTTGTTAAATTTATATCTTTTTTTGACTCTAGAACCCTAGGGGGAGCTCTGGGGGTGTAGTGGTAAAGTGCTGTACTGCAGAGATAAAGGCACAAGACTTGAAACCACCAGCTGTTATGTGGAAGACAGATGGGTAATTTACTCCCTGTACCATTCACTGCTTAATGGAGGGTCACATGACAGCACAAAAGCCCACCAGAAACCTAGCTTCACCAAGCTGAAAATTTGGCCTGTGGTGTTTCTGTCTTGATGATTATTTACAGAAAGGTTCTAGCTATCCTAGGAGGGGCTAAAGGTCAGAGCTCATCTTCACTGTAAGAAGGATGTGTTTCCAGTGAAACTTTATTTTCTAAAACAAACAAAAAAACAGTCAATAGTGGTCCCAAGAAACTATAGAAAATTGATGTTACCGGGTAAATGATAGCAGGTTCTGGCTTTTGCGTGACTTCAACTACTGGTTCCAGGATCTTTAATGATTCTTCTTTACTTTTATCCTTTAAAGAAGATTTTTTCTTTATTATCTTATTATCTTCTTTTTCTGCCTTATCCATGCCTTTCTTTTTTCCACCTTGTTTAATCTTCTTTTCTGCTTTTTTTTCTTCCCTTAAGCGTTCCTCTTCTGCTAATCGCTCCTGCTCTTCCTTCCACGCCTTTAAAAACATTTAAAAAGAAATTTACTAACTGATCTAGAAACAATTGAAATATGGGTTATATGGATGCCATTGTGAGGAAATTTAACTTGATTTTTTTAGAGCCTCTACAAAATCTTGCTCTTTATTTTTTCTTTAAATTGTGATTTTAACAAAAGTATACAGAAAAGTTGGATTTTCATTCATTCATTGCTGCACATTTCCCACCCTACACTCCCTCAGTTCATTAAAAAAAAAGTCATTCATTGTTACCTAATTTCCTCCCTCAGGCCCTCTGCCAGCTCACTTTGCTATGCACCTCTTATTCTGGACTATTGCCATACAAATAATGCCTAGTTATATATTCTTTTAAAATAGTTCTTTCCTTCATCTAACTTGATTTTTTATAAACATCACTGCCGAGAAAGCAGAATGATGTGCCAGAAAACTGGTAAGTCATCCTTGACCAATTCTCCCTTATTCTCATCTATTTTCTGTACACTAAACTCACCTAGTTATCCTCAGAGCTCTTTTCACTTCAGCTTCTCTCACACTCTACCACAATTGGTTTAATTAAGATCTTTAGCTTAAATTATTGTAACAGTTTTTCAGCCTTGTTTCCCATTCTTATACATGAATCTAATACTCAATTTAGTCCTTACCTAGAAAGAAATCTTGAAGTAAGAAGGATTAACAGAAGATTTCAAAAGGTATTCAGGAAAGCAAAGCAAATATTATAACGAAATGTACCAAGATCTGGAGTTACAAAGCCAGAAGGGAAAAATATGCTTGGGATTTCACAAGCTGAAAGAGCTGAAGAATAAATTCAAGCCATTAGTTGCAACAATGGACAAATCTTGAATGATGCAGGCAGCATCAAAAGAAGATGGAAGGTGTACCAAAAAGAATTGGTCGACACTGAAACAGTTCAGAGAGTAGTATATGATCAAGAACAAATGGTAAAAAGTCAAGATGCAGTGAGGCATTGACAAAAAAGTAAGGATGCAGGAATTGATTGATAGCAATTGATATGTTTCATCAAACAAATATAGTTCTGGTTGCATTCACTAGTTTAGGCCAAGAAATTTGGAAAATAGCTATGTAGCCAATTAATAGGAAGGGATCTATATTCCATTCTAGAGAAAGATGATCCAATAGCATGTGGAAATTATTGAACAGTATCGTTAATCTTGTTAAAGACATAAAAAAATGATTGGAACAGTACAGCCAGAAATTCTGGCTGGATTTAGAAAAGGCTATGTCAGTCACCAGATATATCACTGCAGATACCAGATGGATCTTGGCTGAAAGCACAGAATATCACAAAGAAGTTTACTTGTGTTTTATTGACTATGCAAAAGGATTTGACTGCTAGGATCATAACAAATTATGGATCATGTTGAGAAGAAAGGGGATCCCAGAATATTTCCTTCTGCCCATATGAAATCTATAAGAGCCATAGAAACTATAGACCAGGAAGCTATTGTCAGAACAGAACAAGGAAATACATATATGGTTTAACAGTAGAAAAAGTATGCAACAAAATTATATCCTTTTTCCATATCTAGTTGATTGGTATACTGATAAAATAATTTGAGAGGCTGTACTAAATGAAGAAGAATGTGTCATTAGGATTGAATAGCCTGCATTATGAAGATTATACAATCTTGCTTGCAAAAAGTAAGGAGGACTTGAAGCACTTACTTCAGAAGATCAAACACTGAAGCCTTCAATATGGGTTATATTTTAACATCAAGAAAATAAAAATCTTCATGACTGAATCAATAGGCACCACCCTAATAGATGGAGAAAAGATTGAAGTTGTCAATAATTTTATTTACTTGAATCCACCATCAAAATCCATGGTATTAGCAGTAAAGAAATCAAAATATGTGTTGCACTGGGAAAATTGACTGTCAAGGACCTCATTAAAGTGTCAAAGAACAAGATAATAGTTTAAAGATTAAGGTACTGACTCCCGTTCCAAGTCATGATTGTCTCAGTTGTTTCCTATGCATCTGGAAGTTGGATAATGAATTAAGATCACTGAAGAAAGATACGATGAATTACGATGTTGGGGAAGAGTATTGCTTACCCTATGAACTGCCAAAAGAACAAACCAATCTCTTAGAGGAAGTGCAACCAGAGTGCTCCTTAGATGCAAGGATGGTGAAAAACTATTTCTCATGCTTTGGGTATGTTGTCAGGAGGGGTCAGTCTTTGTAAAAAAAGCTTCATCTTGGGAAAAGTAGAAGATCAGGGAAAGAGAAGAAGATCTTCAACAAGATGGACTGGAGCACTGGCTATAATAATGGATTTGAGCATGTGGGTGGTGCAAGATAAGACAAGGTTCTGACCTGTTGTTTAACTGTTAGTTGTAGTTGACTCAACTAACAACAATGTTTACATATGCAGATTGTCACACCTTTCACTTGCAGTGGGAAGTGAGTTTGACCTGTAGCCTTTGCAGTTAGCAGTAATGCTTAACCACCAAGCTACTAGGACTTCTTTAAATGACTGTATGCTAACTCACAAAGTAAGTCTCAACAATGAACAAAGATTACAAACAGTAATCTTTTTCCTTTTCTATAGGGAGTGCTAGTGGCCTAGTGGTAAGAAATAGTGCTGAAAAAAAAGAAAGAAAAAAAACTGTACTGCAATGCTAAAGGCACACAGTTCAAATCCACCAGCTACCCTGATGGAAAAGAATGGGCAATCTCCTCCTGTATCATTTACTACCTCTGAAAACCCATTGAAGACCCAGCTGTGGCTGGGTTTTGACTTGACGGTACTCAACCACCACCACCACTACCAATGACTCTTTTCTATAATAAAAAAATTTAGATGAGAAGAGCAGAAAGCTGATGCAACAAATTCCTTTTCTTATACAATTGAGTACGAAAAAAGCTTCTAAATACCTTTGGGTTGAAAAAAAGAAATAAAAATGGATATTATAAAATACTTATAGTTGTGAGGCTCCGTGGGGATCAACTACTTGTCCCTGCTGCTTCAACTCCAGGCCATGCCCCATGCTGGAGTGTGCTGAGCTTTACCATTAAACAACGTTTCTCTAAATCCAAAAAAAAAAAAATACTTATAGTTGATTTATAAAAATCGTTCACATAGTAACTTCAGGAATGTAGCTTAAGCCACACTAAGAAGGATTTATAGCATTAAAGCTTTTTATTAGAATAAGACAGGCTGAGAATTACTAAAGTAAGCATGAAAGTTGAGAGGGTAGACAAAATCATGACAGCAGAAATAATAAAAATGAAAAATAAACTATTACACAAAGGATAAATAAAGATCAAAACTTGATGCTGTGGAACTTCCGAAGGTAGTAAAACTGTAGCCAGATCGGCTTAGTAAATGTAAAAAGAAAAAGCACAAATAAATAATACTAGGAATTCATAAGGAGATTAAGCAACAGATTTAGCAAAATAAAACATTAAGAGCATTAAATGTCATTCTAATATATTGGGCATTTAGAAGAAATTAACATATTTTTAGAAAAATGTTACTTAGTAAAATTTGTAGGGAGTTCCGGTAGCCTAGTGGTAAGGACTTGTGTTGCCAAACTGAAGGAACGCAATTCAAATCTAATAGCTGCTCTGTGGAAGCAAGATGGGCAAATCTCCTCATGTGTTATTTACAACCTTTGAAAACCTGCTAGAGAGAGGGTCAGCTATAAGATGATTCCAAATAGTTGGCACAAAACAACAACAATGAAATTTGTTTCAAGAAGTTTAAAGAGCAAAACTCAAAATTTTTATCTTTTAATACCCCTTAAAGAAATTGACTTGTCAATTAAAAGAAAAAAAATCTGCTCATCAATAAGTTATGAAGCCTAGATTGTTTTACAGTGCAAGTCTACCCAACACTGAAAATATACACTTCTTAAACAACATGCTACCAGAAAATATGAACTTTGGTAAATGCCAATAGTTGCAGAGAGGCTTCAGGCCTTTTGTTCATAGGGTCGCTAAGAGTCGTGCTTGACTCAAAGGCAATCAACAAGAACAGCATTCTTACACTAATTCTGAAAATAGATAAAAAAACAAGTTAACCCCAACACACTTCAAAGGGCAATTCAAATGTCTAT